TCAAGGTCACAGGAATGTGCAAGGTGAAGTTTTTGATGCAGGTGAGTAGCTTCACTAATACATATCAGCATATTATGTTTGATAAAAATATCTTGAATGATTTAATGAAGCTGAGCTTAACACCTTTTCTACAAAAAAGAGAGGTCAAAGGAAAGGTTTGGGCCAAAATGTTGTTGCAGTTGAAAAGCTTACATCAGTATGAATTTACTATTAGCATATGAAGTTTGATAAAACTATAATTAATGGTTTATTTAAAACTTAGATAAACACATAATTTAAAAAGTGAGGTCAAGGTCAAAGGAAAATACAAGGTCAAAATGAGTTGATGTATTAATAGCTCTCAGCAGTATGTATCAGCATATGAAGTTTGATAAATATATCTTGAATTGTTTATTCAAAACTGCTCTAGACATTAATTTTAGAAAAGTGAGGTCAAGGTCACAGGAATGGTCAAGGTAAAAAAGAGTGAAGCATTGTAAAGCTTACATCAGTATGTATCATCATGTGCAGTTTCATTACACAACTTGAACGGTTTCTTTAAAATAAAGCTAAACACTAATTTAAAGAAAAGTTATGTGAAGGTCAAAGGAAAAGTCAAAGTCAAAAAATATTGCTGCTGGTGGATATTTACATCAGTATGCATCAACATATGAACTTTGATAAAAATATCTAGAAAGTTTCTTTGAGCCCGATGGAAAGACAGATGGAAGGGTGGAGGACGGACATGACAAAAACTATACATGTATGTATTCCTAATCATGGTGTGGCATAAAAAACTTGAATCTACATTATATGAGGATGTTTCCATCTATCAAGATTATACAAGCAAATTCAAAGAATTGTAGTCCTCTGCTTTCTGTGTTTTAGTGAATGGGATGCCATAATTTATGGCAGATTGTGTGTCAAATATGCACCCCTATCATATATCAATTTTTGAAAATTGGGTCAAAGGGGAAAAATCATAGCATGCTCTGAAACATTTTGTTGCAGGTAATGTACATGTCAAATATGAAAGTCCTATCTCTTTTGAATCAAAAGTTATATATACAATATAATATTTTTGAAAAGTAGGTTAAACTTCTAGGTCAAGGTCACAGAGTCAAAAGTCATGATATATTTTGAAAAGTCTTTTCACATGTAATAAACATGTATAATTTGAATGCCCTTTCTTTTCTCTTTCAAAATGATCAATTTAAAATGTTATTTTTTGGAAAGTAGGTAAAACTTTAAGGTCAAGGTCTCACTTCGGTTAAAAAATCATAGTGTATTTAGAAAGTTTTGTGGTAATGCACATGTGAAATATGAAAGCACAATCTCTTATTATTCAAAAGTTATGACCAAGGTTAAATTTATTGTGACAGATGCACATACTAGCTGTAAATAAGATGGACAGACTGACAGACAAATGAGATTTAATGTCCCCTCCCTTTCCCCAAAATGGGGGACAATAATGCCCTTGCTGTTCTTGAGAAGATTTATGATGGAAAAAATCCCCTGCATATTTCTTAACGCAAATCAATATTGTGTTTTTATGTCATTTTGTTTGTTGTTAAACATCCCTCTCAGGTATTTTTCACTCATATGGAGACACCACCACTTGAAAAATAATGAGGACAAGTTAGATTTGAGGTCAACATTCATTTTAGGAGTTTTCAACCATTAAGACGTATATAAAGAAATATTAACTCGATCCTTCCCCTCACCCCTTCCCAGACCCCTGTTCAATGTTCATGTATGCAAACTACTACTTGTTTTTACATTTAAAAAAAATGTTTATACAAATAGTTTAATGTGGTCCGTCTCTGAATGATTTTCATTCCTAATTCTAGGAAGATAGGTTGACACAAATTCATGAATAAAATGTCAAGTAATCTTATCATTGATGCACTTTTATTCAATTTAATGCAGTCATATTGTGAACATTTCAGCTCATTAGGAAAGTGGGGATGACCTCTAGGGGTTCATAACCTTTATACCATTAAATTTACATAACATAATAACACAAGAAACAAAATTATATATAGTGAAATGGAAAAAGTTTCCTACTATTTAGGAGTCACATGATCATTTGTCATTACAGGGACAGGGAAGTGGATTGGGAGATCCCCCCCTCAACACCCCCCCCCCCTTGGAATTTGCAGGACTATAATATATACTGGAGGAAATAAAAATGACTTTGGATGCCCTAAGTGTCCCTCCACCCTAGAAAACAGACCCAACCATAACTTCTTTTTTTTTTGCTTCTCGGGAAATTCTGGTCTAGCCTGGTCCCCTGTCTCATCCTTGCCAAGGCAGGAGAGCCAGGTGGATTCCATTGTACTCCACCTGGCCCTAGTGACGCGGAGTATATAAAGCAAAACAGGGACAGGGAACCAGGCTAATTCTGGTCTGGAACCCCCCCCCCCTCCCCCACCTCCCTCCCAGAAAAAAAATTCTGATCTTGTAACTGAATGTAACGTTGATAACGGGGGATAACTCTTCAGATTGTGAAATTCGTCTATTGTAAGTTTAAAGGATCAAAGGTCATCCGATGCTGAACCTAACCGTTTGCATTTCAGACTATTTTACCCAAATCTATACCAAAACTTGTACTTACCGATTGTCATTATTTAGGCACTGTTATCTTCATGAAATATAATCCAGTTAAAACACAAAATAAAATAATTCCTACTGACATATATGCAATGATGCACACTAGTAGCCTACTGCACGTGCAGTGAAATCTAAAATGATAATGCCAGTGGTAAAACTAGTACTTAAGTTGGGTACGTGACGCAAGCCCAGTGTGATGCAGGTGTTCAGATACATGTATAGTGCAAGAACAAATTGAAAATTATCATTTACAAAACATGTTTTATTTTAACTTTGCCATCTAGGCCTATTTCCAAAAACAGGCAAATAAGGTGTGTTTGTGTGTGTGTGTTGATGGGAGATGGGTGCGGGTTGACTATATTGATTGTGTATATGGCAGCTTTCAAGAAGTTTCTGCCTAATCAAATATAAATAAACTTTGCACATTTTGAAAAATTCATCAAAAACGCTTTACACTAATTTGAATAATATTATTTGTTGTTAATCTATATGAGAAAATATATTTAAAAGTTCCAATTATGTGCCACCCCCCCCCCCCTTATCAAACCTAATTTACATCATTAATTTAATTCTGTTGTCTAATTTCCGACTTGTAATGAATAAAGAATATGAAATACCTATAAGATGGAGGCCCATTGGTAACATAGTCACTAGCTGCAGATCTGTATAGCGTTATGGTTTTATATATTAGTCTTTGACCATAAAGCTACAGATCCTGTAATGCAAAAAAGGTGCAATTTACGGTGCAATATTTTTTTGCGCACTTCTGGGGAGAATTTCTCCACTTTCCAGCATCGGTCAATTTACTACCTTTCACCCCCTAATTCTAGGCACATTATTTAACTAATCTGTATATTTTATCCATCTCCAAACGTTTTATATTCGTCTCTACACGAGATAAACTCGCTTGATTAAAATTATTTGTTAGATTGCATAAAATTCAAATCAAGCGGGTTTATTGCCTGTAGAGATGACTATAAATGGCTGAGAGGTGGACAAAATATACATTTTGACTACAGAATGTGTCTAAAATTAGGGAATGAAAGGTAGTTGATTGACCAATGCTAGAAAATGGAGAAATTCTGCCCAAAAGTGCGCAAAAAAATATTGCACCGTAAATTGCACCTTTTTTGCATATGGTGATCTGTAGCGTTATGGTCAAAGACAAATATATAAAACCATAACGCTGCAGATCTGCAGCTACATGGTCACCTGAGCATATTATGCTCAATTTGAAGAATACATGTATTATGTAAATTATTGAAATATATTGACTTTTTCCGTGGTAAAGCCCAATATGAAGAAGTGTGCATTTAGAGGCAAACACCTTAGTGCGGGTATTACTGTCTCATGACAGCATCTAGTTTCTGATAGATTTCGACACTTTTCTCTAGTTTTATACAGTTTACGCTTAAGTGAGTCTCCGACGACAGATATATCAAACCCCGAGAATGTAACTCTTGCGAATTTCCTCATACGTACAGCATAGCAGACGACGTTCTCATAGATACACAAGTACAGTTGTACATGTATTATACAACTGAAAAAGGTTAAGGTAAGGTTTAACTTTTATATTTACCTGGTAAATGTAATCCAACCTCGACCCCTCCGGTTATTCCAAAGAAATTGGGCGAATCTGTAAGTCCACAACTTTCTGTGACACGAGATTCAGTGAGGAAACTTGTGGTGGCCCACCGCCGGTCTTAGCGCGGTCCTTCTTGATTGAGATAATGTCTGCCTTGGCTTTATTACACACCTTCCTGTACCTTTCTTTGATTTGATCCACAGTTCTTGTGGATCCTCCCCTTGAATTTATAGCATTGGTTATTTCTTTCCAAGCCTGTGTCTTCTTTATATTAGTGACTTGATTCGTTTGTTTCGATTTTATAACATCAAAATATTTCTCAACTTCCTCAATAAGGAGCAGAGTTTCATCAGCTGAAGTTATTACTCCTTTTTTTTACTCACATGATCATCTACTTTGGAGGCCATTTTTGTTTTGGTTGACAAGTGGACAAATGTAATGCATTGTGGATACTAACCAGTGGTTAAATCACTTAACCAGTGGTTAGTTAACCAGAGGCTAATTTTTATTTGAGCAACAAATATTTGACCAGTGGTTAGTTGGCCAGTGGATATCGAATTTAACCAACAGCTAACTTGTCCAGTGGTCAAATTTAACCAGTGTTTTGAGCAACCCAGTCCTGTTATAATAAGATTATATACTGAAGTCTGATTATTGGGTCGACCAGCTGTGTATTTTTGCATTCTATAAGCTGAAGTTGCACGTTGAGAACGTACCATTGTGAAATATAGCAGAAATACATAAATCATGCAGATATCTTATATCGAACCGTTGCATTTTATTTTTTATTATACTACAGTCAGAAAAAATATTGACTTCTAATAGTAATAGTGTTATTCCTTGTGTATCAACCATGCACATGTTAGTTTAATCTCACATTCACTCGGTAAACAAAAGAGCTTTTTAAATGTTACCTTTTTATTTTTCTGCAAGAATGGAACAATTTAAATTTCTTTTGTTCATTTTACTGTGTTTTTGCTAAGATCAGAATGAGCAAGGGATATAAATAATCTGCGCTATAAAAGATGTTGAAATAACTATCCTGGAAATTCCTATCGGTGTTAACTAACCTTTTTGAATCCAGACTCTGCTGAGGCACTGCTCTGTTGCGTCGTCATTTTCATTTGTCAGACAGTGATAGTAGTTAGGTTCTACACATTCGGATCCTTTGTGATCATATTTCAACTTGGGATGTCCTCTGGGCAGTAAAACATACCCATCTGAGGTTATAATGATTCTAGGGAAAAACCTTTACTTTCGGTTTACATCAATTTTTGTCTTATAGGTTCTACAGATTGGATTCAACATGCTCAGAATGGTTTTAAAGAACGATAACTAAAAAAAGTTCGATAATTCAAAGCTGTAAACATAGTTATCATAGTAATTACTAAATAAACAGGTCAAAAGAAAATAAAACATGTTTTAAAGATTATTATCACGTACACAAAATAAACTTGTCAATCATACCTCCAACACAATGTATTCCCTTCTTTATATTTTTAAAAAGAATTTTAAAGGTTTTTAGGAAAACTCCACCAATAAGTTTTTGTGCAACGTTTTTGCCCTCTTAGAATAGAAACGAGTTCAATTTTAAATTAACTGTGATTAATTAAACATACATACATATTTGCAACTTTTATTAAAGATAATACACGAGGTGTTTTTTGGTAAAACATCCAATATTAAAATTGATCCACGAAGACAAAAAAAATTATACTCGTGTGTTCTGTAGAATTTCGACCAAAGCTATTGGAGGAAAATGTTTCTGAAAACTTCTTTGAATATTTCTGTCTTGAGCAGAATTTTGTACTGTGCATTAACATTTGTAGTGGTGGTATTAAAAAAACGTTCATCTCTTGACTCTCTGACAATAATGATGTCTTTGAATGTTCGTTTTAAAAGATGTATGTTTTCAACAATTTAGTTGGAGTAAGACAACGGAAAATATTGTTACCTTTATTGACACTCGAATCGTGTACTTTTTCATTCAAAGAAGTTTTCAGAATCATATTTTGCAATAACCTTGAGATGTTGATAACAATTTTTTTATTTACAAATTGTACGTGTAAAATCTATAAAGAATAGCGCTGGAAAAGGTCTGTGATAACGATAAACAAAAACTAGTTACTTTATGTGTATTTATTTAAGTGTAGTTTCAATTTTGCTTTTATTTATTCTTAAATAGATAAAAAAAAAAAAAATAAAGGTTCATTTTTCATCAGCTTTTCACCCAATTTCTGTACTCAGTTCTGATGAGATAAAGAATATAGATCTATATTCTACACTTTAAGGACATTCACTGGATTTGATTCTGTAGTACAATATAAAAGGATTGCAGATATAAATACATTTTAATCAACCAAGAAACTGCAAGTAATTTTCAAAGGAGACAAAACTATTTCCTTAAAACAGATGAAAATTTTTACAACTTGTATTGTATTTAATACTGCTATAAAAATCCTCTCTCTTTGTTGTGGCAATAATTTAGACTATGATAATATATCTCTCATGAAATAACGGTGTTTTCTGTAGATGTGTCTTGTGCTCAGTCCATACAGATAGCGGCATCTCCAAAACAAACTTCGACGAAGGTTGCTGTGATGCTGCTGTGAATATTTTATCAAAGTCTTCACGGAGGGCCTCTATCTGAGGCGCTGATTTAACGTCCGCAAAGACGTGCTGGAAGAAGTAGACTTTGGTGTATATGTCTGCCTTAAATTCGTTCAGTACTTCTTCACAAACTGACACTTATCGTATCTATTCTCATAAATAAGAGGTTCATAAGACTCCGCTATCTTGTCCTCATCGTCCCCAATGTAAATAAATACATTTTTCACTTGTTCTGCAGATTTGTGATTTATTTCTGGAATTAAAAAAAAAGACCGTGGTTCAATCAAAAATTACCAGAGGAATGTGACGTATCCAAAATACCAGGCAACGTTCTATATTTACATACCCAAGAAAGGTTGTTTTTCAACATCAGCTGAACTATTCCGAACAATTGTACCGTTTCCGTTCACGATTTCTATTAAAAAAACACTACAGTAGTGACTACAATTTCTAGATCGAATGTCAATGAAAAAGTCATGTCTAATGTATGTTTAATGCACACACCTGCGTTAATAAAATCATCAAGGATACTTTCCTGCCTTAGAGTTTTCCGGTATTCGATATGAACTTCATGTCTACATCCTAAAATCAAAGGAAAATTATTTTTATTAAATAGTTATACAAAACATTTGACATTAAATCAAATAAAAAGAACATACTGTATATATTTCCCTTATGCCCTAAGCCAAATTTATCCCCCAAAAATACCTTTA